TGGCCAGGTAAATCGAATCTTTAAAATGCACTTGTCCCACATGCATAGAGATAATTTTGGTTCCGTTTAAGGTGACTTTAGAGTTTTCGGTACTTTATTCAGAATAAGCTGTCCATCGAATTCCGAGCAATTTTGAGCCATCTCTGTGGAATATCGATGACAATCTCCATAACGTTCGGTGACCTCTTGACTCCACGTTTCTTTGATAGGGTATATGATCTATTAGGCAAAATCAGCCAGGGTGTTAGGTCCTAGAAAGATTTTTTTCTCTTTCTCCTGGTATCTTGCTACAGTAGTGTCAATGATGAAAGACCAGTTCTTGGATGCATTTCTCACAAGCTTGATGTGCCACGCAGAAATTAGTATTGTGAATGCCAATCTCCTGCATGCATTCAAAATGGGAAAAGATGAAATTACCTTTCTTCTTCTGGTCATCTTGTTCCCTATCCTTTTGGGTAGGTATTTTTGAATTTAGCATTCATGTTCCAAGTCCACAAATTGGTGTCAAGTGTTACATCGTTCTCTCTTGGAGATATATGTGCCTTGGCATTGTTGGTATGTATGACTTGTCTACAAGCAGGGCACAATCTAAGAAGTTGACAAGCACCTATCTTCTGTAAACCTTACGATGCTGTTGTTAACAGGTAGGAATTAGAAACATGCGCTGTCTTGCTGAGCAATACAATCGTTTTTGTCCTTCGTCAAGGCAGGGTTTAGAGACCAAACATCCCTCACATTTTTATCCACAGCGCTTGTGTTTATCTCGATTTTTATAACCATAGTCACATTTCTCACAATGATACCCGTATCCCTGGAATCTGGTGATACTGTTAATGGCATCGAAATGTTCATAGTTATGATAGACGTAAATGTATTTTGGTTTTTATAATGTTTGCCTCGAAACAATAGAGTTCTGCGCACTACTTGAGGGTGTATTTTTAAGTCGTAAAGTGAATACAAGACGTCTTTCAATTGCTGCATTTCAGGAATGCCACATGGTGTGTTTGTAGATAACTCCTCTTGCTGTAACAGTTCTGCTTCTCTTCGTTGTTTGGCTCAGTGCGATTGTCGAATAGTTTGCCAGACTCTTTTCCATTTTGCCGTGTAAATCTTGTCGGCATACGTTTGCAGCGCAATGATGGCACGAGCTAAACACATCTTGTCTTGAGGAATGTTAATTCGGACGAGGCTACACTTGATGCCACAAAAGATGTCCACCAATAACAACCTTTTGTATTTTCCGGTCCCGTTTGGAACAGAAACGGGGGTCATGTACAGATTCGCTTTGCCAAGAGTTATGCAAAACTTGTCACTGGACTGCGGTACGTGTTGAATCGTGTCGAAGACTTTGGAATGTTTCAGTTCTGATGGCATGATTAACTCAATTTAAACGATGGACTTCAGACTGTCTTGATAAATGGAAACTGTCAAGCGATCGTCTTCTTTGGCTTTGTCGAAGACTTTGAAATGTTTCAGTTCTGTTGGCCTGATTAACTCAATCTAAACGGTGGACTTCAGACTGTCGTGATAAATGGAAACTGTCAAGCGATCGTCTTCTTTGCCTTCACATTGCCGTTACAGTATGTTTAACAAAGAATCCCCAAATCTGATGAAATCCTCAGATTACTGCAAGTGTACGTCGGACGTGAAATCTTTAAACTTCACCATGTACGTATAGGCCGTGGTTCCAATGTTTCTAGAGGAGCGTTTATCCGTCTCTCAAATGTGATGTAGTTGTTACAGGCGATTGATTTTGATTTGAGGTAGACTCTCTGGGTTTGGATTCTGGTTCTTTCATGTCATCTCCGAAATCGCTGACATGAATTTGAGCCAAGACTTCAACTACTGTGCAAGTCGATTGGTCACGTTACTGCCTCTTACTTTATTCGCCTTTCTTCACGCAATAATGCGATGGTTTGCAAAAAGTCAGATAACTACATTTTAAATGTCATATCAGTATAAGGCCAGTGTCTTCATCATTTCACACTGAATTCTACCAGAAAGATAGACGAGCCAACACAGATCGAACTTAAGATAGAAAACAAGAAACGTGTTATATCTGTCAGAAGACAGGGCATTTGGTCTTCATAATGTCAACAACGTCAAAGCAAGAGAGATATTGAAAGAGACAAAAGCAAAATTAAATATTATCATTGTCAAGAGAAAGGACATTGGTCATCAGACTGCTCTATTAAGCAACGGGAGCGGAAGAGGGGTTCCGAACAGAAAGAGGAGGTACCTTCCGAAAAGGAAGAACCCAGACACGTTAAGAGAGACAAGAAAAAGAAGGAAAGGCGAGAAAAATGTCAGGAAAAAGAGGAAACATATGGGATAGTGAAGAAATTCCAAGAAAGGAGAGAGTGAAAAGACAAAGATCAAAAATGAACTTTTTAAAGTGACTTGTACCAGAGAATTTATCTGAACGAAACACGTGTCTATTGGTTTCGATGTTTATAATAAGGACCTACACTCATGCACGCACACACGTGTATCATGGGAAAAAAACGGATTTTAATTTTTATTTGTTTTTTCCATAGAGATGGGTGGCCACAAAAAGGAACTTTTGGTGTTGTTTTTTTGTTGGGTTTTTTCTAGGGGTGGTAAAAACTCAGGAAAGGGAAGTAATAAGCGTTAGCTGCCTTGTCCATTTGCCACGGCCAAGACATACGTCTGGACTTGCTTCTGTCGATGATTTGGTAAAGATCACTATATATATATATATATATATATATATATATATATATATATATATATATATATATATATATATATATATATATATATATATATATATATATATATATATATATATATACATATACAATGGCCCCTTCGTATGCTAACATTTTCATGGGAAAACTTGAGGGAAAGCTCTTAGCATCGGTTGAGCGTACACCATACCAGTGGGTACGCTTTATCGATGATATAGAAATGAAGTGGCAGTATGGAAGAGAAAGTCTGGATGACTTCATTTCAAAGGCAAACAACTTCCATCCTTCAATAAAATTCACGGCAGAAATTTCCAACTCAAACCATGTTTTCCTGGACACAACAACCAGACTGGTGGAAACCAAATTACACACAGACATCTACTCGAAACCAACCGACAAACACCAGTATCTTCTCCCAACCAGCTGTCATCCAAAACACTGCATTAAGAACATTCCATATAGCCAGGCACTGAGGATACGCAGAATTTGCTCCGACGATGAGAGATTCCTAGAAAGGTCTGAAGAGCTGGCTAAACATTTAATTTACCGAGGCTACGACAAAGACCTGATTGCGGAGGCAATCCAAAGGGCCAAACAAACAAACCGTGATGACCTACTCAGATATGGACAGAAAGAAAAGGTTGATAGGATACCATTTATTCTGACCTATCACCCAGACAATCCCAAAGTAGGTAAAATCATCGCAAACCACTGGCCAACCGTGCAATCGTCAGACATACTAAACCTAATACTTCCGAACAAACCTGTAGTAGCTTACCGGAGACCAAAAAACCTAAAGGACATCCTAGTCAGGGCCAAGCTAACAACAATCGCTAGTCAAAACCAACCTAGTCAATCTGGACCCTGTGGCGATAAAAGATGCAAAACCTGTCAACATATGATAGAGACCAAGACATTCACTAGCACAGTGACTAAAGAAAAACTAAACATACATGGTCCAAACAAAACGTGCAAAACAGAGAATGTGATTTATCTCATCACATGTAAGATCTGTGGCCTTCAGTACGTGGGAGAAACTGAAAAGCTACACATAAGGATAAACCTTCATAGATCTGATTGGATGACAAAAAAGCTGTACAGAAGCCCGGTCGCAGAACACTTCTCCTCCCCTGGCCACACTTTCAGTGATATAATACTTATCGCTATTGCCAACAACCACAGCTGGAGTTCCGAAACCAGGAAGGAAAAGGAATCATACTGGATACGCCGCCTTAGAACATTGAAACCAAGAGGTCTAAACCAAGAAGACTAGAAAATGAAAACTATGCACTAGTAGAATATAACATTTTCTAAATCTTCTTATCCTTCAATTTTTACTATAAGAATAACCGGTATAGAACCAAATATCCGGGATATAATCTGCGTTACATATGTACACAAAGTAAAAATAGATGTCGCTTTGGCTTGTAGACTTTTAGGGAATTATACAACGTTTTCAGTTTCCGCAACTAGTCTATACAAGCTGGTTGTATTTATAGTTTTAGCACATGTGAAGATAGAAATGTAGAGGTTTACAAACGCAACGTTTTTGTGTTTATTTGTTTGTCGTAACTATGTTTTGTATTTGCCTTTGAAAAAGACTCATTAAGAGTCGAAAGCGCTTAGGCTAGTTAGTTACTAGTTTCGTACTGTTCGTCGTCAGTTTATTGCATCTATTTTAATTAATCCCTGACAAACGTGATCCCTTGGTGGATCCAGTACGCTTGAGAGGGTTGTTATTCGCCATATGATTTGTATTCTTTATATATACATATACATATACATATATATATATACAAATACATATATATATATATACATATATATATATATATATATATATATATATATATATATATATATATATATATATATATATATATATATATATATATATATATATATATATATTCATTCATTAAAATTATATGCGTTCAGGGAAAAGTGTTACCTGTCCTGTCTATTGAAATTTTCGTTTGATGGCCATTTACTCACAATCTGTGTACTTGGTCTCAACAATTCAGTGACATTTTATCTTAAAATAAAAGGGTATCTTTAGATAACATTATTTTTATGGAATTCAATTATCGACTCAACAAAGAATGTGAACAAAGAGTTAAACGGTTCTTTGTAATTCTAATAGAACGATTATATTATGCATGATTCCAGTCTTTGCCAACACGTGCGTACTAAATATATGTATGGAACTTTTCCGATTATAATTTGTGCAGTTTACTATATTTTGAGATACAGGTCTATGCATACATTATACTTATATTATAAGCATTTATTTCGATGGCCTATGGTAATAGCTCCCACTTCAGATGCGGGAGGTTGCGGGTTCGAACCCCGGCCGAATCATACCAAAGCATTTAAAAAAACATTATACTAACAGATGCCTCGATAGGCGCTCAGCATTAAGAGGTTACTTTTTTGACTGGTTAGCCTGGTGTCAGGATAATGTTATTGCTGCGTGGGACGTCATGCTACATGTCTGCACACACATACACACACACTATACATCATATACGGCAACACAACTTTATATAAGACATTACTAGAAATGTCACAACTTTATACAAGATACGGCATAACAGTTTATATATTATATATTACTTGATACGAAATATAGCTTGATACAAGATACGGCAACAGAGTTACACTAAATACGCCATCATAGTTTTATACAAGGTACGGCAATATTGTTACACTATTAACGCCACTGTAGCATTAAGATAATACCTGATACAGGCTTATTCCTCGATTCATTTTTAAACACAAGATTTTACAAACGATCACTGGCAACTAAATCTTGTTTAAATTAATTTTAATATCTCTTTTAGTCGTTCTACGAAAAAGTATCTTCCCGGCAGTTACTGGAGTAAAACACACACGCACGCACACGCACACACACACACACGCGCGCGCACACACACACACACTTTTAAAGACTTTGGGTTCAGTTTTGCTGTCAAAGTTCCCGACACAATTTCGATAGAAGGGCTTTGCTTGAACCATATTCCTACGTCTAATACTGGCACTAACTTTGCTGTGATTCACCAACGCTGATGATGCTACTGTCTCCTGTACGACCAGTCAACATCATCATTAGCAGTGTACAAGTACAGATTTTGCGCCTGGCAGAAACCTAATTTGTTGGCATGTGTGTTGTCTCCAAACTGGAGATATATAAAGTTATAGAGATAAGATTTATAGGTACCTTTCAAGACTATATAATTCTACAATTAGCATCATTTATAAACTCTTTGGAATATAATGTTGATACCTACTTTTGAAAATTTAAACTAGAGTGCACTGTATAATTATGTAGACATGTAGTCCACATTTCGTCTACTTGGATAATTCAATGGAATTAGCAAACCTGGCACTGAATAAGCACAGACCATGTTCCCTCCACCTGGTCAAATCTACGGAATTTTTCAAACTTTTCATAGGACTAATGACGTCTATATTCCGTCTATTTCAATGGAATTGTCTAAACTTGGCATACGAATAGTATAGTCAATGTTCCGTCTATCTGGTTAATTCAACGGATATTTCCAATTCTTCATAGTTCTAATATGGTCCATAATCCGTCTAACTGGCTAATTAAATAGAATCATCCCAAACCAACATGGGTTTAATAGTCTGTTTTAATGCTGCCCAGGTCGTATTATAACTTGTATATAACACCCATAAGTACATTAGAATGAACAAAAAGGGATTAGGTAAATTCCTTTAGACCTGATTCCTTCACAATGAGCTTGTCATACACCCCAGATTAAAAGAGCAAAATGACCTTGGTGGAAATTAGCTGTTTCAGTTCTGCAAGCTTCTAATAAGTCGTAAAGATTGATTTCACATACGCTGCTAAGTGCATGGGCTTGTTTGTCTTTCCAGATGATATGCCGTATTTGGTATTGTATCAGAAATCTCATAAATAGCAATAAACATGCTTACAGTTTGTCTGAAATTGTGCAGGGCTGATAGCGTATATCACAAAGGAAATAATTGCAAAGTCAATGGCAATTTTTAAGTAAATATAATGCAAGTTGTATTATGGCAAACTAACCGCTACGATTTTCGTGACAATGAATAGTAAAGACCAAGTAATCACCACGCGTGGGGGAAAATAATAGCATGGATGCCGCGTCAAATTTCTTACTTTACAATTAGTAAGACACATTTAATTGCTTTCTGTATGACAGCGCAAGGAATTATTTAGACTACTATTAATTTAATAGGATTGCATTTCTAGCTTTTATCCAGACTTTCTTTATGAATGGATGGATGGATGGATAAAAACTAATATGAATTAATTTATAGTGATAGCAAATAAACATTCAGTGTTGTGATGGATAATTTTATATAATCTACTGTGAAGTAATAACGGAAATCAATCAATTTCCAGAATGTATAAATCTAGATTCCTTTACATTTTCTTAATTTAATAATGTCGTAGAAAATGTATATCGATTAGAGAGACTTCAAATGGCATTTTAAAACCTAATAAGAGCTCTATCAACAATGTAATTATTCAGGAACATGAACACAAAACTGCTTGACACAAGTAAATCCACAAAAATTGAGTTTGTAATAAGAATTCATTTTACAGACGCAGTCACCTTTACTTCTTTGGCAACAATTACATTGTAGATATTTAATTAAGAAAAGTCACGAGTTAAAGTCTAGAAAAAGTCTCTTCCAAACTATGCTAAGCTACACAGGCGTAGCATACATTACATATTTGTGGTATGTTTTACTTTAAAAAAATATATTTAGCTTCATTTTGTATTCATACCGGCTTGGGTATTGGCTCTCATTTCTTGCCATAATATTTAGCTTGAAATATCTACCAGTCCTACACTATGGAAACTTGTAAATATTTTCATGGAATGCAATATAAGGATCATTCGCTCATAGTAAAAAACGAAATTCATTCACAGTATACGTTCTAAAATGAACGTCAGGGAGATAACGAATGAAATCCTCTTCTCTGCCATTATGACTTCTTATTACTTAGCACTGTGACTGTACGTTCTTTTCCCTGTAAGTATATTTGTTCTTATTACTTAGTACTGTGAGTGTACGTACTTTTCCCTGTAAGTATATTTGTTCTTATTACTTAGTACTGTGACTGTACGTACTTTTCCCTGTAAGTATACTTGTTCTTATTACTAAGTACTGTGACTACGTACTTTTCCCTGTAAGTATATTTGTTCTTATTACTTAGTACTGTGACAGTGCGTACTTTTCCCTGTAAGTATATTTGTTCTTATTACTTAGTACTGTGACTGTACGTACTTTTCCCTGTAAGTATATTTGTTCTTATTACTTAGTACTGTGACAGTGCGTACTTTTCCCTGTAAGTATATTTGTTCTTACTACTTAGTACTGTGAAAGTGCCTACTTTTCCTTGTAAGTATATTTGTTCTTATTACTTAGTACTGTGAAAGTGCGTACTTTTCCCTGTAAGTATATTTGTTCTTATTATTTAGTACTGCGACAGTGCGTACTTTTCCCTGTAAGTATATTTGTTCTTATTATTTAGTATTGTGACAGTGCGTACTTTTCCCTGTAAGTATATTTGTTCTTATTACTTAGTACTGTGACAGTGCGTACTTTTCCCTGTAAGTATATTTGTTCTTATTATTTAGTACTGTGACAGTGCGTACTTTTCCCTGTAAGTATATTTGTTCTTATTACTTAGTACTGTAACAATGCGTACTTTTCCCTGTGAGTATATTTGTTCTTATTACTTAGTACTGTGACAGTGCGTACTTTTCCCTGTAAGTATATTTGTTCTTATTACTTAGTACTGTGACAGTGCGTACTTTTCCCTATAAGTATATTTTTTCTTATTATTTAGTTCTCTGACAATGTGTAATATCCCCTGTAAGAATATTTGTTTTTATTACTTAGTACTATGACAGTGCGTACTTTTCCCTGTAAGTATATTTTTTCTTATTACTTAGTACTGTGACAGTGCGTACTTTTCCCTGTAAGTATATTTGTTCATATTATTTAGTACTGTTTCAGTGCGAACTTTCCCCTGTAAGTATATTTGTTCTTATTATTTAGTACTGTGATAGTGCGTACTTTCCCTGTAAGTATATTTGTTCTTATTATTTAGTACTGTAACAGTGCGTACTTTCCCCTGTAAGTATATTTGTTCTTATTACTTATTACTGTGACAGTGCGTACTTTTCCCTGTAAGTATATTTGTTCTTATTATTTAGTACTGTTTCAATGCGTACTTTTCCCTGTAAGTGTATTTGTTCTTATTATTTAGTACTGTGACAGTGCGTACTTTTCCCTATAAGTATATTTGTTCTTATTTTTAAGGACTCTGACAATGCGTAACATCCCCTGTAAGTATATTTATTCCTATTATTTAGTACTCTGACAGTACGTACTTTTCCCTGTAAGTATATTTGTTCTTTTTATTTAGTACTGTTTCAGTGCGTACTTTTCCCTGTAAGTGTATTTGTTCTTTTTTTAGTACTGTGACAGTGCGTACTTTTCCCTCTAAGTATATTTGTTCTTATTATTTAGTATTCTGACAATGCGTAATATCCCCTGTAAGTATATTTGTTCTTATTATTTAGTACTGTTACAGTGCGTACTTTTCCCTCTAAGTATGTTTGTTCTTATTATTTAGTACTGTTTCAGTGCGTACTTTCCCCTGTAAGTATATTTTTTTTTATTATTTAGTACTGTAACAGTGCGTACTTTCCCTGTAAGTATATTTGTTCTTATTACTTAGTACTGTAACAGTGCGTAATATCCCCTGTAAGTATATTTGTTCTTATTATTTAGTACTGTGACAGTGCGTACTTTTCCCTGTAAGTATATTTGTTCTTATTACTTAGTACTGTGACAGTGCGTACTTTTCCCTGTAAGTATATTTGTTCTTATTTTTTAGTACTGTGACAGTGCGTAATATCCCCTGTAAGTTTATTTGTTCTTATTATTTAGTACTATGACAGTGCGTACTTTTTCCTGTAAGTATATTTGCTCTTATTATTTAGTACTGTGACAGTGCGTACTTTCCCCTGTAAGTATATTTGTTCTTATTACTTAGTACTGTGACAGTGCGTACTTTTCGCTGTAAGTATATTTGTTCTTATTACTTAGTACTGTGACAGTGCATACTTTTCCCTGTAAGTATATTTGTTCTTATTACTTAGTACTGTGACAGTGCGTACTTTTCCCTGTAAGTATATTTGTTCTTATTACTTAGTACTGTGACAATGCGTAATTCTCCCTGTAAGTATATTTGTTCTTATTACTTAATACTGTGACAGTGCATACTTTTCCCTGTAAGTATATTTGTTCTTATTATTTAGTACTCTAACAGTGC